GGTTTATTAAATTTTTGTTTTACATCCGCTGCGCAAACCCTAGAATCGATCTCTTAGGAATAGGATTCGCTCTAGAGATCCCAGGAAATCCCAACAATGGAGGGTCAGACATGATTGTTACTAGATACGTTGATTCAGATCACGCCGGTGACCTCGATAAAAGCAAGTCCCATTGAATACGTGTTTACTCTTGCTAGAGGAGCTATAAGTTGGGTTTTAAAACTACAGTCTATCGTAGCGACATCTACGACGGAGGATGAGTACGTAGCGACTACACAAGTCAACAAAGAGGCAATTTGGTTGCAAATTTTAATGGAGGAGCTTGGACACAAACAAGATAATATTGTCTTGTTTTGTGATAGTCAGAGCGCTTTACATCTAGCAAAGAATCCAACATTTCATCCAAGGACGAAGCATATACGGGTACAATATCACTTTGTACGGGAAAAAGTGGAGGAAGACAGTGTGGATATTCAGAAAATTCATACGGAGGCAAACATGACAGACATGTTAACAAAGCCAATAAACAATGACAAGTTCATCTGGTATCGATCTTCTATAGGTCTAGCGGAAACGTAAGCAATATGGAGCTGCGAGGTAGAAAGGGAGAAGGAATACAACAAAAACTGGTTTTGAGTGGGAGAATGAAAAGGCAAAATCCACTTTTTGTAAAAAGTGGTAAACAACGGAGACTTGGACGACAGTCGGTGGAGGCGCAGGAGTTGCTGAAAAATTTTAGCAGCAGTGGGTCCCACCATTTTTGGAGTTACCTATATAAGATGATGGTACGATCCCTGGTAATGCATCTCAAGTAGAAGCAAAAACATCAGAGTAAAATGAGAGAAAAGAAAGAAAGAGAGAGTGAAAAATAAATCCGGGTCTTTCCTATTTTTCGGGTTTTTCCTCTTTATTTCTGAGTGTTTAGTTTCTCGTGTATAAGAGAGAATTAATATGGTATTCTCCTTGTAACAGAGAGAAGGATCGTAATTCATTGAAAGTCGGTATAAATCCTTCTACCATTCGCCCATGGACGTAGGCACTCTGCCGAACCACGTAAATTTCTGGTGTCCCATTATTTATTTTCTCATCTCAATTTAGTTCCTAACAGTAATTTATCCACGTCCGATTCTAACATAATTCCCGTTCACATAGTGAAATCTAGGGGTGGCTTATTTGGTTAATAACTGAACCGAATAACCATAACCGAACCGAAACAAATGTAAAACCGAATAATCATAATTTTTCTAGGATTGAAAAAATCGAATCCGAACCAACCGAATAAAAAAATAACCGAAAAACCGTAAATTTTCTTAAGAAAATGAGTATTTTTATCATAACCGAATCGAATCCAAACCGAATATATCCCACTACAAAAAAAATAATCTTATATCAACGGATATTATCAACGGAATCGTCCGTTGATATAATTTTAACGGATTCTCAACGGACCAAACCTGTTGCTAATGTCAACGGAAATCAATGAAATTACAACGGATGTAGCAACAGAGCTTTTCCGTTGATAATCCGTTGATAATTACAACGGAATATCAACGGGTATTTCCGTTGATATATTTCAGCGATTTTATACAACAGAATTCATGCTTTGTTTACTTTCAATTAGGAGTGTAAAACGGGCTGGCCCGGTCCAGTCCAACCCGGATCGTCCCGATCTGGAAAATTTTCATCCCATCCTAGTCCAACCCGTTTTTTAGCGAGCCAAAAATAGATCAACCCTTCCTAAATCGTCTTAACTCGCGAGCCAAACGAGTCGATCCGTGAGCCAAATATATAAATTTTAAAAATAAAATTTTAATACTAAAAAATATTTAAAAATAATTTTAATATTTAAATTTTTTTAAAAATATCTAAAATATAATAAAAGAATTAAAATTTTAAACAAAATAAACTAAATATGTAATAAAAATATAATTTGTATATATAAAAATATATTAAAATTTTAAAATTTTAAAAAAATAAATATTTTTTTTGGTCCGCTTTTGGGGTCGGGGAGCCAGCCCAGATCGTGATGGGCTGGCTCGCTACGAGCCCGACTCGTGACGGGCTGGCTCGTGTGGCCCATTTTTTATGGGCTCAAAATACTTGAGCCCGGCTCAGAAAAATATGGGCTGGCCCGCGAGTCGGACTCATTTTACATCCCTATTTTCAATGGCTAAATATCAACGGATTCATGTCGTTGGAATGATCAACGGATGTCCGTTGATATTTGTTGCCGTTTTCGTTGCAACGGATGTCCGTTGATAATTGTAGCCGTTTTAGTTTCAATGGACATCCATTGATATATCGATTATATAACAAACCGCACCCTTTCTCCCATTCACACCAAAATCTCTCAAAATGTCTTCTTCTTTCTCAAACCGAAATATACATGTTTCAAGGCAACAGATGTATCGTAGAGAAGATCCAACAATAAAAGAAGTTATACCGGAGTTCTGTGCTGGTTTGGAACAATTTATGAATTTTGCTTCAATGCAACCTTTAACACAACTGACCAAAACAGCGGCTGCCAGTTCATCGTCGGACACCAACTTGTCTCCTACCGATCAAGACAAATGTTATGTTGAGGTATAAAATCAAATTTATTTATTCAATCTTTAAATTATATTATTATTGATTAAATAATTTATATATAATATGTATTATTTTGTAGTCTGTTGAGCGGAACAAAGGCCGCATCTACGGTTTAGGAGGCCTCCAGAGAGATTTGCTGCAAGATTTTGGATCATCGGTTCATCCGCATGTACATATCGATTCCGACCAACAACGTTGGATAGAACTTGAACGATCGCTCCAACATCAGAAAGAAGAGACGGAGCGGCATATGGCGGAATAACATGCGAAACGGTAAGAGTATCAAGCGAAGATATCTAATCTCGAACACATGATCGAGCTGCTTAGAGGAGTTCATCTTTCACATTCTTCCACAACACCTTAGCCGGCGGAACCTCCAGCGGTCGAACTCTCGGAACGACCGAAGACGAAGAAACCGAAAGTTTGAATTAGTTTTCGGTTATTTAAATTTATATTTTGTATCGAACCTGGTTTAATTATATGGTTTAATATTTTTAAATTACATATTTCTATTTTTAATTAATCTATATATATATTAATTTTAATATATATATATATATATATATATATTATATAAAAATATATAAATGCATATTAACGGATATATCCGTTGATAGTTTTGATTTCAACGAACGTCCATTGATAATATTGTTGATATTAGTTACAGAATTTTCTACCGATAGTTGTCGTTGCAAATTTGCAACGGTTACTATCAACGAACATTTCGTTGACATTTACAAACGGAAATTATCAACGGAATTCCGTTGTTACTATCAACGGCTAATTCGTTGCAAAATAACAACAGATATTTTGGTTGCAAAAAACGTTGAAATATACCAACGGTATCTTCCGTTGCAATACCGTTGCAAAGATCAACAGAAATTACTCGTTGAAATATCGTTGATATTATCAACGGATTGTAACGGAATTCAAATTTCAACGACCGATTTGTAACGGGTCGTGTTCGTTGCAATATCCATTGAAATTGTCGATTTTCAACGGATATTTAGGTGATTTCAACGAAAAAATCAATTGATACTAGAGGTTTTTTTTGTAGTGTCCGAACCAAACCGAACTGCACCAAATTCAATGTAGAAACCGAACGGTTATAGTTTTTTTAAAACCGAAATAATCGAACCCGAACATAAGCGAACCGAAACCCGATTAAGCCACCCCTAGTGAAATCTCCCTCTCTCCGTTGAGACGTATGATCGAACACAATATCCAATTTGAACTCGCAAATCTTGAATGTCGTTTCCCTTCTTTCGATTGCTCTGTTTTTCGGCGTGCACGAAAACATGAGTTGGTTATAGCGATGATCGCTACATGTTCTTCGATAAGTTCTGAGTTGATCAACAGGTTCTTTGTGTCGGTTCACTTGATGTGCTTTGTTCCGCCATAAAATATATGAATCCTATGAAATTTCAGTCGCAACCTGGTTTTGTGATACGTCGAGAAACATGTTATAAATTGAGAGTTTTTCTTCTACATGGAAGAAGAAAGGAAGACCAAAATGAATATGACACTTAGATGTATTTTTTTTTGATAAACTTCACTCTCATTTCAACAAAGGATGTAGCATACATATTTATAGTATTTTATCTTTCGTAAGTTAAATATAATCATAAAAGACAATAACTTAAAAACAATAAATATAACTTTTAATATGTAGTAACTTATGACCACTTGTGATTAGATATTCCGTAACTTTTGATAGCTAACTCCAAATGATTTGAAACTTGATTCATCAGAATCTAGACATCCGGAGCATCAAAATCCATAGGTCAATGTTAAATTTGGTTAACATTTGGTCCCTTAAATGGCTTTCGAAAGCTGCCTCAGAAACTGTCAATTTATTTGAGTTTAGTGCTCACGAATTTCTCTCTTAAACTCAAACTTTTTCGATCCTTCATTCCAATTTTCAACTTTAGATTTTCAAACTGAGCTTTGGCAACGCCTTTGTAGATATGTCTGCCACTTGATCACAATTTGCAACATGACATATTTTCACTTCTCCATTTTTGACATATTCCCTGATAAAATGGAAACGGACATCAATATGTTTACTTCTCTCATGTTGAACCGGATTCTTTGCCAACTCAACTCAACAGTTGATTTGTTGTCGACTCGTATTTCGGTTGACTAATGTTGTAGGCCTAACTCGAACTTTGGGCAACGCCTTCGACAGGAGGGAGTCATCAGTCCAGTGATGACTTGCCACGTGTCAGAATGATTAAACACGTCATCAAACATAACGCGTTTCCTTAAACGACGCCGTATTAAAGTCCAAGTCTCCGTTTCGCCCCATCGCGCCTCTGTTGTTTTCTTTTCCCTCCTTCCCAAAATTCTTTCAATGTTCCCGCCTTCCTCTTTTCTCTTTTCTTTTATATATTTTGTCTGATTTGCGCCTTTCTGGTTTCTCGTCTGGTTACTTAGTATACATGCGCAATCGCGGAGACCTCACGGAACCCTAGAATCTAGGAAAAAATGTCCTCTTGGCAGGTTGTCGATGGTTTTCGGTGGAAGGTCGGTGGCCGCATCATCCCGTCTGACTCCGATTCTACCCCTACTGCTCTTCTTCCTTCCATGGCTGATCTATTGCTCCAAGGTCACCCCTCTCTCTCTCTCCCTTTCGCCTGTGATGTGGTACCGAATCTAATTGTCATGTGATGCAGGATGCTCGAAGCTTCTAGAACCTGAAGAAACTCCCATGTTCAGGACCGGGTCGGGGAAGTCTGTTTCCCTAAAAGAGTCTTCCATTTCTAGAGCCATGCCAATTCTTGCCCATGATACGGTTGCTACTTCAGGTGCGTCTTTGTGTGCGAAAATTCTTGGCTCTTTGCGATTTCCGAACATACCTTTTGACACCAGCTTTTAGATGAAGAATGGCTACTTAACAACTTAGAAAATGGGTTTCATTTCTTTTTAGCGCTTTCTTTAGGTGGCTATGTTTATTGTTTCCTTTTTTTTGCTGTGCCTTTTCACCGTACAGGGTGTTCCAAGCTCCACGAGAAGGAAGGAGATGGAGCTGGAACTCTGCCTTTATTCAGAACTGCCTCTGGGAAATCAGTCCCTCTGAAAGGATCTTCCATCACCAAAGCTTTGTCTGTTCTTGGAGATGATACTATGGCTCTCTCTGGTTTGTCATCCCTTTTCTTCCATTCCATCTTTTCCGTTATAATTTAAGCAATAAATATACTTTTGTATCATTCCATTCAACGTCTAAGCAATTCCATGTGAATCATGTCAGTTTGTTAGACTTTACATTTGGTAGAGATGCCATCCTTCCTGAGCATAAATGTTGAAAGTTCAGCTGAAATCAGCTGGTAGGCTATAACAACTTGGCGTACCATTTCCATTACCCTTTTGTTAGGGAAACTGGTTTTAGAACTGGAAATTGCCCAACAGCTGGCCAGTTAACCGAGCTTCAACATTTGCGCAGGTACGGTTCTTGCTGGAGAGAGCGGATTAGGTTTTGCAAACTCGTTTTTTCAGACGGGTTCTGGGAAGAAGGTAGAGGTATCTTCTGCAGGTTTGGCAAGAGCCAAGGTATTGCTAGGACTAGAAGAAGACGATCTGAATGGCTTTTGCCATGTGAAGGAGTTGTCTTCTTCACGCCAGCAACATGGGTTGGTTGGGTTGGAAAATAAAAAACAGTCTGATGCTGCATCAGTTCTGAGTGATTCAGGAACTCCTAAGCTATATGGAGGTGATTTGTCAAGGAGGCAACCGGAAGTTTCAAATACAAGTTCAATGGTGCCTCAGTTAAAATTTCAGACTGCTGGAGGTAAATCATTGTCAGTTTCAAGTGAGGCACTGAAACGTGCAAGGAACCTTCTAGGGGATACTGATTTGGGAAATTTCTTAGAAGATGTAGCAGTAGATGGCAATTTCTTTATACCCCAAAAAGAGCAGAGATCAGATAATATTACAATAAACAATGGATGTGGCAGCTTCGGGCTCTTTAATCATCAAGGAAAGACAAGCAGCAAGCATACATCTATACCTCCTTTGCAGTCATCTTCCAAGCAATTAAGATCTTTAGTTAATACAGGAAACCGAGCTGCAGGGACAAATTTAATCAAGAAGTTTGATGCTGTTGTCAATGAGAAAGATTGTGCGCTGAATGTTGCTAGGCCTGCCATGCAGGAGCTGTTACCCAACAAACATTCAATGTCAGATTTTTCAGTGAATAATTCCAAGGAAAACATTTTCAGCTCAAGAATTAAACATTTTGGAAGACCACTTGCCGATATAACAAATTCCCGTAGCACAGCTTTTGCAGACGATAAACAAGCCAGCAGCGAAAAGAAAAGATTGGGTCGTACAGCTTCTGTTTCTCCTTTTAAAAGGCCACGGACTTCCATCTTTCATACTCCTTTGCGGAAGAACGTTCGGCATGCTCCAAGTGGTAAAATTTTTTTTTTTCCTTTTTAATGAAAAATGTTTAGATCTTGTGGAATTTGGGTGTGAATGTATTTGGCTCGTCCGTCATGATTCTTTCCGGCATCCTGCTTTTGACAGGTTTATCTGTCGGATCTTCGGATAATCCATGTTCCAAAAGAGTTATATCTACTCGATACCCACACAGGATTCAGAGAGTATCTATGAAGGAATATTTTGGAATGCATCCCTCGATTGAGACCAAGGTTTTGTATTTTGTGTACTGAGCATGATTCTGAATTATGCACTCTTGTAATGTCCCTTCTCACTCAGCCAACTTCCTGTGTGATTTCAGTTAGATCATTTGCCCAATCACGTCAGAAGAATCACATCAAGTAATGCAGATAACTATGTTTTCTGTGACAATTGTGGCCAAAACATGATTGGGGCTGAAGCTTTTCTCCAAATGTTGGCTGAATCTGGTGCCTCCTTGCAACATGCTTCTAGAGAGTAACTTCTATATCTGGAACTATTACATTGCCTACTTTCATTCCTTCACAATGGAAAAAGTTTGTCACAGTTCGTCAAATCTTGCTAGTGGTTTTCATTGCTTTGGATAAGCAAGTAACAATTATTAAGCACGTCAACGGTGGTCTTCTGCTGGGTCGAACTCATTCTCTGCTTCTAACTAACCTTTTTAATATTTATCCATCCAGTATTAAAAAATTGATGTCTTTCAACTGTATGGTCATTGAGATGCACTGTCCTTTATATTCATTGATTTGCAGTGTTTGTGTCCTAGGTGGGTCAGCAATCACTACAGGTGGGTAGTTTGGAAACTTGCATGTTATGAGAAATACTACCCAGCCAAATGCGCTGGAAATTTTTTGACAATCCCCAATGTCCTTGAGGAGCTAAAATACAGGTATCTTGAGCTCACAAAAACAATCTGTTTGCATCTTTGCTTATACAAATTCTATAACGTGTTGAATCTACTTACAGATACGAGAAGGAAATAAATCATGGTAAATGCTCTGCAATCAAGAGAATTCTGGCTGGGGATGCACCAGCTTCCTCGATGATGGTACTCTGCGTATCGGCTATTCATCCGAAGAGCAATAATGACTCTTGGGGAACAAATAGTTCTGATAATAGCAACAATGTGAAAGTAGAACTAACTGATGGATGGTAGGGAGGAGTTCACTGTCTCTGGATATCATCTAATTTCGTTTCATGTCATCTCGAAATTCTTTGGACCCACAGGTATGCAATGGATGCTGCTCTTGATGTCATACTAACGAAGCATCTGAATGCTGGAAAGTTATTTGTAGGCCAGAAGCTCCGGGTAAGTGTTCCGTTTCGGCAAGGTCCAAATTTAATGCTTTGGCTAAACCATTATGGTCAGCTTATGTTTGATTTCTCACATGAAGATCTGGGGAGCAGGACTCTGTGGCTGGGTTGGTCCAACATCACCTCTAGAGGTTTCTAAGGCCTTGGATTCTTGTTACAGTTTCTGGAACGTTTCTGTGTGGTGCTCTTCCTGACTTTGTTGAATTGTATTTCCAGGCAGTTAATAAAAATACGATTTGTTTGCTCTTGAACACTAATGGAACATACAGAGCTCACTGGGGAGACCGACTTGGATTCTGTAAGCATTTTCTATCCTATGCATTTCACTACCTCCTAGGAGTCGCTCATCTTGCTTGCCCGTAATCACCACTTTCTCACTGTTTTTTCAAGGTAAAGGAGTTGGTAGCCCTCTGTCCTTTAGCTGTATAAAGAGCAATGGAGGTCTAGTTCCTAGAACATTAGTGGGAATAACACGAATATACCCCATCCTATACAAGGAAAGGTCAGTAAAAATTTAATAGTGATTGATGATGCAGTTTGGTAGGATGTATAATTAGTTCTGGCATGGACTCATCCGTGCTTGGTACATTCAGGTTAAGTACGGGGAAGTCCATAGTTCGGTCAGAGAGAACTGAGAGTAAAATGGCTGAGCTGCACAACCAGAGGCAAGTCTACATCTTCCAAGTTTCTCTCAGACTACTGACAACATTTTCTGAGTAGCATATAGTGATCATCTAACACGAAGCTGGGAAAGTTTTTTCGTGTAAAACAAACTTAGATATCTTAATTAGCTGGTTTATGAGACTAGTATAAACAATAACTGACCCTCTGCCCTTGTGGAGTTGTGACCGGAGGAAAAACTTAGGTTCATGGCTTTTTATTACTTTATTTAGTCAACCGGCTTTGTTTCTCAAGTTAATTTGTTGTCTGAAGAATGCCAAATCTGATGGTCCTCATGCCTTTCTCATTTTCTTTTCTTGTTGGCATTTGCTTTAGGCGTACAGCTCTTGTTGAAGGCCTTATATCTGAGTTCCAGAGGGGAATCTGTGGTTTGCACGGCCAGAATGAAAGTGACATTGAAGGAGCCAAGGTCTTCAGGCTTCTGGAGAGTGCAGCTGAACCTGAACTCCTTATGGCAGAAATGAGTCCGGAACAATTAACTTCTTTCACTACATATAAAGCAAAGCTGGAGGTAGAGATTTTATTTTCTTCTCTGAGAGACAGTTTAGCATATACGTTATTGATTGCATCAAACCTGAACCTTAGGCAGCTACGCAAAAGGAGCTGGACAAATCAATAGCAAAAGCTCTGGTGGATAGTGGCTTAGGTGAAAGGGATGTCACTCCATTCATGAGAATCAGGGTGGTAGGGCTAACTAGCAGGAATTTTTCGGGAAGGCACAAGCCGAAAGAAGGCATAATAACCATCTGGAATCCCACAGAGAAACAGGTATGCACGAATTTCCTATATCTATGCATTCCATACTTCGATGGTTGCATCGATGGCTGAATTTTCAGCATTTCTATTTGTCTTTTGACTGTTTGTGAACATCTTACAATCCATATTGACCAAATATGGGACTTTTATATAGCTTATAAAGTTTATGGATCCCCTTCTGATCATGGACTTGGGGGAGTTGGTAGTGGACCTGGTATATATGTTCACAGCGTTGGAAACTTGATAATGTCATGATCCAATATCTGTCAAAATGTATGCGATGAATGTCGTTTTATTGCGATATTCTTCATATCATGCATCGTGTAAACAGTCGTCTTTTTTCCTACGACTTCAACAGAAAACTGAGCTGACAGAGGGGCAAATATATAGTATCAATGGGCTAACACCAGTGAACTCAGATTCAGAAACACTTTACTTACATGCCAGAGGGCCCAGCACAAGATGGCAGCCTCAGTCGCCAGAAGCTTCTCGAGCCTTTCAGTAAGTTGTTCAGATGCTTTCTCGATAGACAACCTGACTCCGGCTGATGTATGTTTTCATTTTGTTTTCTCTGGTTTTAAGGCCATTTTTCAATCCCCGTGCGTCGGCCTGTTTGTCATATCTGGATGAAGTTCCTCTTTCCAGGTGAACCTATTCCTCGTTGCAAGGGTTCTCTCACATCTTTGCCCCAAATATGTTGCGAGCTAGCGCTAAACATCTTTCTCTGTGTTCAGTGAATTTGATATCGCTGCCTACGTGGTATATGTCGGGAAAGCTTACATAGATACAGCTCAGCAAATAAAGCAGTGGGTGTTTGTGGCAGATGGGTTGAATAGTCTTCTTGCTATATGCTTCAGCTCGCCAGATATGGGCGACATTTCGCTTCAGCAGATGAGCTACAATCTTGTCGGATCCACAGTACGTAAGATGTATAGTTTATTTGGGCGTGTTCAATTCAATTCATAAAGTAAACTCATTGATAGAACAGGAGTAGAATCTCTCATACTCATACTTGGGCAGGTGGGGTTCTGCAATCTCATAAGACGGCCAAAGGACAATATGAACAATCTGTGGGTAGCCGAAGCCACAGAGAACTCAACCTACTTGCCGAATCCTTCTTCTCCCCACCTTAGAAGTGCCCTTCACAATGTCCAAAGATGGGCTAACTTCTCTGCCTCGGTTTGTTATTATCCTCAAAACTCTCATTTCCGTTCGTTGCTTTTATAAAACTGACAGTTTTCCGTTGCTTCGTTTTCCTTTTCAGGTGATTGAAAAGCTTCGGCAGAGGGTTTTATTTATAATCAGTGGGTGATTGTTAGCATATTGAGCTTGAGGAAGTGACCCACTGGTGCCTGGTGGTGTTAAAATCTTCTCTTAGCTGGCCAGGTTATATATATATATATATAACGATCATCTATATCGTAAAAGCTATATAGATTTTGGATAAATATGGTGGTACAGTTGGAGTTGAAATTCGGTTGATGGGATTGGAGGTATATGAGAAAGCTAAGCTTTTAATTGCATATTACTTTGGTTTCCATTATATAGAGTTTTTTTTTCAAATTAAAAGCATGCATTGCCCACCGATCAGCCTGAAACATGTCTTAATTTTCAACTGTCCTCTCTCTCTTAATTGATCCACTAACATGTTGTATGATTCAATTTATAATTTTATATGTTCGAAATAAAAGTCGTTCTTGTTTTGGCAATTCCATGTCACTTTTACTCGTCTTTAGTCTATAAACAATCGAATTGTCCTTTGCGAAAAGGTAAGGCTGTTAGTCGGACTTTGGACCCAAATCAGCTTCGTTTTGTCAATTAGCACGTCTCAAGGAGTCTTGCAAAGTCAATTTAGAAAATGGGAGCACTACATTTCTAGAATTTTTGAACAAGTATTACGAGATTTTATCGTCTATTATGTAGTGGTCGAGTCCTCTCAGGTTTAATCATCAGTAATCTCGTAATACTTGTTCAAAAATCACATAATTGGACAAGTATTACGAGATTTTTGAACAAGTATTACGAGATTTTATCGTCTATTGTGTACGGTATCACATTTTCTAGGTTGATTAATCATCTCCCGAACGTCTTAACCAATTTTATTTTATGGACTCGTTATCAATTATGTACTAGCTTGATCTCCGATCCGTTTGGGTTCGACCTTGATTGTAAAGATTGAATAATAACCGAAACAACACCATCATTTAACGAGTTCAGATCGATTAGGATCCTACGTCTCGGCCAAGGAGCTTGGCGATCCACTAATACTTGATCGAGATCACAATGCACACATACAATCCAAAAATATCAGAGAGAATGAAGAGAAAGAACCCTAATTTTGAAGAAGAAAAGAAAACTCACACTTTTAGATGACAGATACGATGCTCTGTTATATATCCAGAGCTTACAACGTCTCTAACAACCAAAAGTTTAACAACCTTCCCTCAAATTTACCAATTTACCCTTCGAAACCTCTCTTTTACATAAAGATTTTGATTAAACCTTCCACACGAGGTAGAGGTTTATGATGTAGGCATTACTATTACAAACTCCACCTTGCCTTCATCCTCTCATACCTCGTGCTCTCTCTCTCATATTAGGGAACTGTTATCCAAACTCTTTTATATACCCCTTGATAGGGTTTTTCACTGACTTATGCATCAGTGACCTTCATCAAAGACAATGCTCGATTGAATTTGCTGATAGGTAGTGTTTTGGTCAAAATGTTTGCTGGATTCTCTTCCGAAGTGATCTTCAGTACCTGTACTATGTTCTCAGTAGTAACTTCCCGCAGAAAATGTAGTCTCACATCAATATGTTTCGTCCTCTCGTGGTGCACACTGTTTTTCGCCAAGCAAATAGCAGATTGTGAATCATAGAAGACTTTTACAGCTCCTTGTTTAATGCCGAGTTCTTGAGTCAAGCCTTTGAGCCAAAGGGCTTCCTTGAAAGATTCTGCTAGTGCCATGTATTCCGCTTCGGTTGTTGACAAAGCCACCACATGTTGCAAACCAAATCTCCAGCTTATCACATTTCCACCTATCGTGAACACGTACCCTGTAATAGATCTTCTCTCCGTTGGGATTCCTGGGATCTCTATAGCGAATCTAATTCCTAAGAGATCGGTTCTAGGATTTGCGCAGCGGATGTAAAATTTTTTTTTGATGAAACCCTAAAACCTAGCATGCATGATCTTGTAGAAACGTTAGAACGCTTACCTCAATCGATCCGGGGTCTGTATCAATCGAAGAGTTCGTCCGACCACTAAAGGTAGGAAGAATACCTTGCCCTCTACATGTATCAACACGACGGAAAGGATTCCAACGGTTGGAACTCGTCTGCTAGGACTGAAGAACGCTTTCTTCTTTGCGCAATGGTTTCAGGGATCTTTCTTTTTGGGTTTATTTTTTGGGTAAACTGTAGATTACATGTTAAGTTCCTGTATTCTTATATTAATTTTATTATAATTTAAGTATACAAAACATGTAATGAATAAAATACTAATCCATAAATCATAGAAAAGCGTCAATACACCAAATGCATCCAAGTAAAGCTCGCAAACAGTATTTACTATCGTAATGGTTATCTGGTGAATGATTTATACGTATTGAATGATCAACCTTCGAACTCGACATCATCCATCTATAACGTGAGTGCCAAACGGTTTAAGGCGAACGACTTAAACCCGACCTTTCTTTGGCATTGTCGTCTAGGCCATATAAACGAGAAACGCATTCGGAAGCTTCATCATGAAGGTCTTCTGGACTCATTTGACTTTGAGTCTCTTGAGTCTTGCGAGTCTTGTTTGATAGGCAAGATGACGAAGCATCCTTTCAAGGGGAAAGGACAGAGAGCGACAAAGTTATTGGACCTGATACATAGTGATGTATGCGGACCAATGAGCTGTCCAGCTAGAGGAGGTTATCTGTATTTCGTTACATTCACTGATGATTTCAGTCGATACGGTTGTCTATTTGATGAGACATAAGTCAGAGACACTTGAAATGTTCAAGGCTTTCAGAAACGAAGTACAGAACCAGCTTGGCAAGACGATCAAGACACTTCGATAGGATTGTAGTGGCGAGTATATGAGCCAAGAGTTCTCTGACTATCTGGTTGATTGTGGTATTGTATCGCAATTAACTCCTATGGAACACCACAGTGGAATGGCGTGTCTGAATGGAGGAACCGAACACTGTTGGATGGTTCGATCGATGATGATCCGAAGTCCTTCTGGGGCTATGCTTTAGAGACCGCTGCGTACCTACTGAACAGAAGTCCAACGAAGTCGGCTGAAACGACGCCATATGAGATATGGACGGGGAAGCGTGTCGCGTTGTCATTTGTCAGAATTTGGGGTTGCGACGCTTACGTGAAGCGTCAAATGACTGATAAAGTATCCTCCAAATCTGACAAGTGTTTATTTGTAGACTACCCTAAGGAAACTAAGGGTTACTACTTCTACATTCCGGCAGAGAACAAGGTGTTCATTGCCAGGAATGCGACTTTTATGGAGCGAGAGTTCGTCTCCAAAAGAGTCAGTGGGAGTAGGATCGAACTTGAGGAAGTTCGAGAGTAACAAGTAGACGCTGAGCTAAGTGAACAAGTTGAAGACGTTCAACCTGTTTCACTGTCAGTTGTGACTCAACCTTCGACTAGTAAACCTCGGAGATCAGCCAGGATTCGCCAAGAGTCTGTGAGATACGAATTTCTCGTGACTAGGAATGAGGAACTCATGTTATTAGAACATGATGAGCCTACCACATACCCAGAGGCTATGGCGAGTCCCGACTCCGAGAAATGGCGCGAAGCTATGAAGTCCGAGATACAATCCATGTCAGACAACCAAGTATGGACTCTAGTTGATGCATCTGAAGGGATAAAACCCATCGGATGCAAGTGGATCTTCAAGAAGAAAACCGACATGGATGGCAACGTTGCACACGTATAAGGCACGACTTGTGGCGAAAAGATTCCGTCAAATTCATGGTATTGACTATGATGAGACCTTTTCGCCTGTAGTTATGCTGAAGTCCATCAGGATCATGCTTGTCATAGCCGCATATTACGACTATGAGATATGACAAATGAATGTCAAGACCACGTTCTTTAACGGGAACTTGACCGAGAATGTGTACATGACACAACCCGAAGGTTCTGTCGATCCAAGGAACCCGAGGAAGGTGTGCAAATTTCAGAGGTCCATTTATGGACTGAAGTAGGCTTCGAGGAGCTGGACCCTTCGTTTTGATAAGACAATCAAAAGGTTTGGTTTCTCACAGAACGAAGACGAGCCATGTGTTTACAAGAAGGCCAGTGAGAGCAAGGTAGCATTTCTAGTGTTGTACGTGGATGACATTCTCCTAATAGGGAATGACGTTCCTACCTTGCAAGACGTAAAGTCTTGGCTAGGAACGCAGTTTTCTATGAAGGACCTAGGAGAAGCGGCCTATATTTTAGGCATAAAGATCTATAGAGGTAGATCGAGGCGGTTTCTAGGATTGAGTCAGAGTACTTACATCGATAAGGTCTTGAAACGGTTCAAGATGCAAGAATCCAAGAAAGGAACCTTACCGATGAGCAGTGGCACAGTTCTCTGTAAGAGTCAGTGTCCTACGACACCTGATGAGCGAGAACACATGGATCAGATTCCATATGCTTTGGCAATTGGATCCATCATGTATGTCATGCTTTGTACTTGACCGGATGTATCCTATGCATTGAGCATTACGAGTAGATACCAGTCAGATCCAGGTGAGTCGCACTAGATCGCCGTCAAGAACATCCTGAAGTACTTGAGAAGGACTAAGGATGTGTTCTTGGTATACGGTGGGTCGGAAGACGAGCTCGCTGTAAAGGGTTACACCGATGCTAGTTTCCAGTCAGACCCGGATGACTACAGATCAAAGTCTGGCTATGTTTTCTGCTTGAACGAAGGCGTTGTTAGCTGGAAGAGTTCTAAGAAAGCGACCGTTGCAGATTCTACTACAGAAACTGAGTATATTGCAGCGTCGGACGCAACAAAGGAAGTTGTTTGGATTATGAAGTTTGTTGGCGACTTGGGTGTCATTCCTAGTACTGATAGCCCCATTGCTCTGTATTGTGACAACAATGGAGCAATCGTACAAGCGAAAGAACCTAGGTCCCATCAACGATCCAAATACATACTCAGACGATTTCACCTTATCAGGGAAATCATAGACAGAGCAGACGTGCACATTTGCAGAGTGTCGACATATGACAACATTGCCGATCCGTTGACGAAGCCTCTCCCTTCGTCGAAGCATGAGGGTCATATTAGGGATATGGGCATTAGATGTTTAGCAGTCCATAATTAGAGCAAGTGGAAAATTGTTGCTATGATGTACTGCTATATGAGCTTTCTTTTGATACATTTGATGTATTGACACTTTCTATGGTTTTATGGATGAATGTTTGATTCATTACATGTTTTGCATACTTGATAGGTTATGAAATCCATGTATTGTTATGAACAATACTGAACTCCCTAGTCATATGTCATTGTGGGAATAATGATATACT